GAGGGTGGATGGATTTGAGGGAGGTTGAGGACGAGACTCCCAGACTTTGGTGATCAATTGGGTTGGAGGCATGGTGGCGGGAGGCATTATGGATGATGCTCGTGTTTCTGGCTTTGGACACTGAAGAGTCGTGCAGCCTTCCAAAACAAGGGAGGCAGGCTGAGGGACAGTTTGGGGGAAGTTGCTGAACTTGCTTTGGGCACACTGATTTGGAGGATGCCTGGGGACCATCCAAGAGGAGGCATCTGGGAAGTGTACAGACATGTGGTCAGAGGCTGAGACAACAGATTGGATGTGGACAAGGGCCCACGACTTTGGAGAAAATGAGTGAAATATTCATTCAACTAACAGCACAGGGGAGCCTGAGACACACTCTATCTGTTCATGTCTGAATACCTGGCAGTGGGCCAAAGGCCTGGTTGCTTGTTCAGTAAGCCAGGAGGAAGCGCTGGAGCAAGCCTTGGAGGGTGGGCTGGGTTCTACCAGAAGAGACGAGATGAGGGCCCAGTGGTCAAGTGCATGAGGCCTGGGTTTAAGTCCAGCCCCTCTGTGTGTTGATTGTAGGGACCTGGGCCAGATGTTCTCCTTACCTGAGCCTGTTTCCTCATCTGAAAATTGGTCATAAGGGACATGGTGAAGCTTCAAAGTTGTGCTTGTGGAAGCAGGTAGCTTGGAGCATGGAGCAGGGCTTTTGGGGGACAGCTTGGGACAGAAAGAGTCACCCACTTCCTAGTGTGGCAGAGCTGTGGGGGATGGGAAGACAGAAATTAGGATCCGCCTGAAAAACACATCCACAGCTGTGTCCCATGTGAGAAAGGAGACCTCGGTCCCCGCCCAGGCTCCCTTTCACCCCGCAGCCTGCTGGAGCTGGCGGGCGGGGGAAATCATCTCCGTGGAGTGGAGGAGGGGACCAGATGACAGAAACCTTCCCCACGTCCCTTGGAGCTGCTGGAGCTGGGTCCTGGCCACCGTCCCAACCTGTAGCTCCTGACTCGGGGTCAGGCTGAGATTTGCTCCTTCTCTGCCTGCTCCATTTGGCTACAGAGAACAGAGGTTGCAAACTGGAGGCCTCAGGGGCCCAATCTGGTCCCCAAGCCTGTGGGGCTTTCTTCAGCCCACACAGAGTTTTTAAAAAGAATGAAGCCAATATTTAAGAATCTGTGGATATGACACAAAAAGCTGTGTTTTGACTCCCTCTGGAAAATCAGGGCATGGAGCATCTGACCATACTGGGCCCCGTTCTCTAGGGACTACCATCAGCCAGAGCTGAGAGGTGACTGACTGTCTTTAAACAAGGCATGTACCCCAGTCCCCACCACTCCCTCTTGTCTCTCTGATGCTCAGGCCAAGGAATAGTAGCTATTTATCATCTTACACCAGCCCACTCTGTTCATTTTAAATTCCTGCCCTGTCCCTGGTGACACCGTTTTCAACCCCAGAACCAGTCTCTTTTTCCTCTAAAACCACGAAGACTTTGGCCCTGGTTCTAGGCCTGAATCGGCTTCCTAAGATCCCCAATCTCTGAGCTCCTCAGGGTCATGGTTTACCTTCCTTTCCCTCTGCCCCACAAGGCCCAGCACACCCCCCCGGGGGACAATGATGAGCTGAGACTTGGCTGGTGTTGGGGGACCGGCTGGGCCTGTGGGAGGCAGACCCACATCTGCTCTGAGATGTGTCAGCTGGGCCTGGTCACACTCTCTGCGGCTCATCCCTGAGGCATGTGGAACCAGGCGCTCTTCTCGTGGCCCAGCCAGGGTGGTGGGCGGGGCCAGGCCCAGGACATGGTGTATGTCAAGGCCACGCACAACAGGCCTGATGTTCCAGCCGCAAACACGTTGGTTGGAAAGAGGAAAGGAGGAGGGAGAGGCAGAGCTGCTTTAACAGAAAGTACCCAAAATACAGAGGCAGAAAGAGCCGAACTCACACTCTAAGTTGCTGTGTGACCTCGGGCAAATCACCTCACCTCTCTGAGCCTCTAGCTTAAGATGGAACCGAGGACAGACCCCAGCTTGCAGCCTTGTGGGCATATTCAGTGGTATAGTGGCTGATGTGGGGCCTAATGCCTAGAGGGGCAGCCTGGAATGGAGACAAAAATCACAGACTTTGGGGCCAGATGAGGTTGCCACTTGTGAGCTGGGTGACCCTGGGCAGGTCACTTCTCCATCTGCATCCCCAGAGAAGGTCCTCACCAAGTTATTCTGCCAAAAAAAAAAAAAAAAAGAATCCATTCACTGAACAAATATTTATTGGGCAATTCCTGTGGGTCAGGCGCTGGGGACATGGCAGGACATAGGACGGTCAAAGGTCTCTGCCCCCATGGAGTTCACACTTGTGGAGAGAGCAGGCAATACACAAGATAAATAAGCTGCATATTGCATTTGAGAAGATACGTGCTAGGGAGAGAAATGAAGCAGGAAAAGGGGATGGGATTTCAATGGGCGGGGCAGGGACAGCCTGGTGAGCAGGTGACAGCTGACAGTGATCTGTAGGAGATGAGGGAGGGAGCTGCGGGGAGGGAAGAGTGTTCTAGGCAGTGGGAACGATGCACAGGCCCTGAGTGGGGGCTGTGGCTGTTGTGTTTGGGGTGTAGCGAAGAGACCAGTGTGTGGAGCAGAGTGAGGGAGGGAGAGAGACTAGGAGGACGTGAGGGCCAAGAGGCTGTTGGGGGCAGATCCTGCAGGACCACGTGGGCTGTATAAGGACTTTGGCTTTTTCTCTGCAGGAGATGGGAGTCATGGAGTGTTCTGAGCATAGGAGGGACGTGGTCTGACTTCAGTTTTCATGGATCCCTCTGGCTGGGGGTGGAGAATGGGCTGGAGGGGCCAGGACAGAGGCAGGGGGGATAGTGGGGAGGTGATGGCAATAGTCCACCCTCTGTTTAGTGATCCTGGTCCTTCCCTGCTCTAAAGCCTTCCTGACTTCCCATCGCCTCTGGACAAAGCTCAAACTCCTTGGCATGACATTCAAGGCCCCCTTACCTGACTCTACCTGCTCCCCGCCCCGGCTCCTCACTCTCCACCGCATCCCAACCAGATATCCTCCTTCCCTGCTCCACATGCTGTCCACCTTTGCTTGTGCTGTTTCCTCTGCCAGGAATGTCCTTCCTGTCCCCCTTTGTGACCCAGCTCATGTGAGGCTTAGTCCCACCAAGTTAGGAGATAGAAAAGCAAGGAATAGAGGAAAGCCCGTTCCTGGGGAGGGTCAGGGAGGGCCAGGTTTCAGCTCGCCTTTTCTTCCTGGAATTCATCCTCCAGGGCCTCTGCAGCGGAGGGCAGGCTCAGGAGCTGGGAGTGGGACTGTAGGCCACACGACCATGCTGTGTGACCTTGGGCAAGTCACACACCCTCTCTGGGCCTTGGCTTTTCTGCTGTGTAAAATGGGGAGGATCCTGGAGCTCCTCATGGTGGTTCTGTGCACTCAAGGGCTGTGGCAACTGTGGAATAACAGCATCCTGGGGAAGACATAACTGCACTTCCTTGCCCAGCCATGCCAGGCCAGCTCAGGGTGGCCCTGAGCTGATGCTGGGGGTAGCTTGGGGGAGGGGTGCCCTCTGAAACCCTGAGCGTCTCCAGTTCAGCCACCCCTGAGTGACCTGAGCACCCAGGCAGCCTGGTTTCAAATCCCAGCTCTGCCACTTCGTAGCTGTGTGATCTGGGCAAGTAATGGAACCCAGCTGGGCCTTGGTTTCTCACCTGTGACATGGAAAGAGTAAGAGTGCTCTCCTCCTGGGGAGCTCAGAGAAGCCGGTGCGCTCCTGTAAATACCATGCTCAGTGCGAGGCAGAAGCGGCTTATCAAGACCAGCTAGCATTATTATTATCATCACCACGGTCATTTCCTGGCTTTGTGGCCTCAGGCATCACTTGCTTCCCTGTGCCTCAGTTTCCTCCCCTGTGAGATGGGGTAACAGTCCCACCTTCAAAGAGTTGCCATGAGGATTGAGCCTGACGCATGTAGGCACTCTTTGATTTTTGTTTGTTTGTTTGTTTGTTTGTTTATTTGAGACAGGGTCTTGCTCTGTTGCCCAGGCTGGAGTGTGGTGGCAAGATGGCTCACTGCAACCTCTGCCTCCCAGGTTCAAGCGATTCTCCCACCTCAGCCTTCCAGGTAGCTGGGACTACAGGCGTGCACCGCCACACCCAGCTAATTTTTGTATTTTCAGTAGAGACGGAGTTTCACCATGTTGGCCAGGCTGGTCTCAAACTCCTGACCTCAAGTGATCTACCCGCCTCGGCCTCCCAAAGTGCTGGGATTATAGGCGTGAGCCACCGTGCCTGGCCTCACTGTAATTTCTTAAGAAAAAACATTTCAAATGCAGAATTTATTTGATTCACTACCATAAGTCATCACTGATGTTTGAACAGTCCCTGTGAAATCCTTTGTTGTTCCTCTAGTCAAACAAATGCTTATTTGGTTTAATCTGACTTAACAAACTAATAAGATGAGGAAGAAAATTCCAGGCCTCAGGGCATTCGCTGCAGCCCAACCGGGTACCAAGAGACACATGTCCTTCTAATGAAGAGTGGAGGAAGATCAACACGATCCTTATTTATACTTCAAGTCATTATGACTGTGCAGCTGGGTGACCTTGGGCAAGTCCCTTCCCTTCTCAGACCCTCAGTCTCTTCTTTCCTGAAATAAGTGTGATAGCTTCCTACCTGCCCTGTCTAGCTCATAGGATTATGGTCTGGCTCCAAGACATCACGGCTATCATTTATGAAGTCCCTCCTGTATGCAAAGTCCCTCTCCTTGACCACCCTGCCTCTTTCCAGGAGGGAACTGCTTGTTTTCAGGACAGGACAGTGAGCCTAGGGAGGTGGCAGAGGATGCTGCCCAGGGAGAGGAGGAAGTGGGGGGCTGGGGCTGGCTGGGCTGACGCAGCTGTGATGTCAGAGACCGGCCACAGGCAGCCGGCCCAGTGCTAACTGTGCGCTCTCTGCTGGTCTGGCCTGGCGCCTGCCCCCTCCTCCCCCGCCACCCCCCTTAACCCCTTCCCGGCCTCCTCTTCCCAGACGGCCATCCCCCAGGCCCAGCCTTGCCCACAAGATTCCCAGATTTCACAACTGGGGCTGGCGCTGAATCATGTACAGTAAGTCCGGGGAGAGAAACTCCCGGCTGCCTGGCGTCCCCAGGACAGGACGGCTGCCAAGCCTTCCCTCCCTCCCAGGGGCCCACCGGCAGCCAGGGATCATCCCCTCTGGGCCCCTGACCAGCTAGGGGGTGATGGGCGGGACACACAACCTCTCTTGGCTGTGCCAGGGATCGAGGGACTGTGCGGTTTCCAGGGAACCTTCAGGCTCTGGAGGGATGAGGACAGGCCAGGGTGGTGGGAGAGGGGTCGAAGTGGCCTTTTATTCAACCACAGCCTGCCACCAAATCACTGGTGACCTGCAGCAGTCCCTAACTGTAACTCTAAGTTACAGTTTCCTTATCTGGAAAGTGGGGATAATCACAGCCCTGACCTCACAGGTCGCTGGAAGGACTCTGAGGCGATCTGGGTACGGTGCTTACCGCAGGAAGCGCCCAATAAATATTATTATTATTGTTGTGATGTGGAGCTGCTCATGACACGCTTTAAGACGCTGGAGAAATCATCCAGTTCTTTGGATGACGTCTCCCCTGAAACACCCACCCCTCCCGCTGTGATACAAATTACATCTTATCTTTCCAAAACTTCTTCAGTACATCAGCAAACATTTATTGAGCACCACTGTGTTCCGTGCCTGCTACCAGGTCCTGGAGATACAGCAGTGAACAAAAACAGAAAGACATTTAAAAGCCCTCTGTTCTCGTGGAGCCTGTATTCTAGCTGAGGAGAACAGACATTTGAGGTCATTTCAGTGAGCGAGCAGGGCTCCAAAGGAAATAAAGCAGAAGGTGAGATGGAGAGAGCCTGGGAGGTCCCCTCTGAGGGGGTGACATTTGAAAAGAAGCCCCAACAAAGAGGAAAAGCCCACATGCAAAGGCAGGGGGTGAGAAATGGTGCTCCCGGCAGAGGGAACTGCAGGTGCTAGGGCCGGGCTGTAGGATCCTCTCGCTGAAGGCTCAGCAAGGGCAGTGGCTGGAGCAGAGGGAGTGAGTGAGGGGTGGGAGGTGAGCTTAGCGGCGCCTCCACCCTGGAGCAGCTCTCCTAATGCCAGGCTCTTCCTGAAAGTGGCCGCCTGGTGCCTGACTTGTACCTGTGGGGGCAGCTACCTGACAAGGGCCCGGCTTCTTCCCACCTGGGGTCCCAAGGCCCTGGAGCTGCCCACTCACGGTCAAAAGCCTCATTCCCAGGAACCCCACGGAGGGCCAGGCTCCCCGGCCCCTGCCCTGTGCTCAGGCTGCCCCTGGGACTCCCCCGTCCCTCCTGGAGGGTGTGAGCCCTCCCTGCCTCTCAGCGGCTTGGAGTGTCGGCATCTGCATCTCGGAGTCTCAGTGTGCCCACCTGTGAGATGGGCACCATGTTGCCTCAGGGAGGAAGTAAAAGGAGGAAGGGAGCTCTGACCTTAGTATCTGTCCCCTGAACCCTGGAAGAAGGAAAACATCTGGGACTCACCGGGGACCAGGCTGTGCGTTCACAGCTGGATGCAGAGATCAGGCGTGTGTATGTGCGTGTGTGCATGTGTGTGCGTGTGTGTGTGTGCACGTATGGTGTGGGGGAAACTGGGTGGCATCAAGACCCAGGAGCCACAAGATCGAGGAAGAGGGAAGGGGTGGGCTTCTGGGGACAGGGGGCAGTCAGAGCCTGGTACCGGGGCCCAAGTGGGGATTGGGGCAGGGGGAACAAGAGGCCCGGCCTCCCTCCAAGGGTCCCAGTGGCCACCCGGGATCATTTCCTGGGATGTTTTAAAAATCATTTATTTCTAGAAAAGTCTTTCATCATTTTCCTTCAGGTCACGGAGGCTGAGATGGCTGACGGCGCAGGTGGCTGTGGGCTGATGTGTCACTTTTGACCTCAAACTGAGGCAGCAGAGGGACGAAGTGGCCGCGAGGCACAGTATCTGGCATATGTGTGAGAAACAGCCACAGTGCCCGGGGATGGGGCCAGGTTCTCACCCTGCACCGCCAGGGTCTGAAGGTGTCTCCCAAAGGTCATGTGGGCCTTTAAGAGGTGGTTGGGTCCTGAGGGTTCTGCCCTTATGAATGGATTCGTGTCGTTATTGCAGGAGTGGCTTCATGATGGAGAGAGTGGATTTGTCACGAAAGTGAGTTCGGCCATTCCTTGCTGTCTCACATGCCACCTCTTGCCATGGGATGCCCCCGCCATGGGATGCCCTCGCCATGGGATGCCCCCGCCATGGGATGCCCCCGCCATGGGATGACAGCAAGAAGGCCCTTGCTTGAGTGAGCCCCTCCATCTTCGACTCTCCGGCTTCCAGGACTGTTAGAAATACATCTCTGTTATTTGTAAATTACCCAGGCTGTGGTACTCTGTTATGGCAACACAAAACAGACTCAAGACACCACTATATGGATGAAGAAACAAGCCCAAGAGGTGAGGAGTGTTGTCCAGGTCTTCCGGTCAGAGGAGCGGCAGGATGGGATTTGAACCCTAGGACTGTGTGGCTTGTGACTACTCCTAGCTTCAGCCTTGCCTGGTGCTGGGGGGCTTGAGGCCAGGACGATGGTCAGATGTTTGGGCACACTGGGCCCTACCCACTTGGAAAGAGGCTGGCCTGGGGTTGAATCAGAACCAGAAGTGACTCAGGCTAGGACCCCTCTGCACCCTCCCTCAGGCCGCGGGTAATTACCTGCCCAGGTTAATAGCGCCCACTTTCCGCCACCTTTCATCAAGGCTCCTGGAGCTGCCAGGCAGTAATTAACCCTTACAGCACCCCTCTGAAGTCAGCACTGAGGCAGACATGTGATGAAACCTGTTTTTTACGAGTAGGTAAACTGAGGCAGAACCCATTGCAGACTGGGAGCCTGTTGTTTCCCCGTGACTCAGCAGCTCAATCAGTCGCTGCTTTCTTCCCACAGGAAGCACCAGCTGGCCCAGATGCTTCTCATCTATAGAGCTGAGCTGTAGGCTGGAGACCTGGAAGGCCCTCGCAGCACCTGCTCTCACCCTCTCCCCTCACGAAAGCACAGGAACTTGGGTTTGGAGCCGATGAAAAGGGCTGGAATTTGACTCTGCTCTGTGACCCTGGACAAGTCACTGCCCCTCTCTGGGCTTCAGTTTCCTCCTTGGTAACACAGAATGATTATACCTACCCCTTGGGTTTGTTGACCTGAATCTACCTCTGAGTCATTGCCTTTCCTTCTTGCTGCAGCCACACTGGCCCCTTGATGGTTCCTTGAACATAACAAGCCCTTGCCCACCTCAGGGCCTTTGCACATGCAGTGCCAGATGCCTGGAATGCCCTTCCTTCCCATCTCCCCATGGCCAGTTCATTCTCGTCTTTCTTGGCTCAAATGTTACCTCCCCAACCTAGATAGCACCCCTGCCACCTCTTCACCCTGTCTTACTCTTCTTCAAGCACTTCTGGAGGTATCTTGCTATTTATCTTGTTTGTATCTTTTTCAGCTCCATGAGGGCAGGACATCTTGTGTGTTTCATTCACAATGTGTTCCCAGAGCTCAGCACAGTGTCAGGCACACACTAGGTGCTTAAGAAACAACTGCTTCCTCTACCTCTTCCCCTGCCAGCCCCAAGTTCAGCTAACTGGCTGTGTGACCCTGGGGATTGCTTTTCACCTCTCTGGTCCCTTATTCTCCCTTGTGGACAAAGGATGGCCTGGGCATGAGTTTCTTCAAGGACTCAGGTAGCAATGAAATTCCTGGGACCCCAGCTTCATTATCTCCCCAGGCAATGAGGTAGAGAGCAAGAAGGCAGGTGAGCAAGGACCAGCCTCCGCCACGCAGACACCCTCTTTCCGGCTTCTCTGTCCTCCTACTTTGCCCTGGGTTTGTGGACTTACTCTGGGCAGATCTCCATGACCAACCACCCCCTCCCTTGGCATGTCTGTCAGCACCCTTGGGGGAAAGAATTTAGAAAGGGGAGGGAGAAAAAGAAAGCAGGGTGCGAGAGGATGGTTCCCACACCTGTGTAAATAATTTGTCATCTTAAAATGCTCAAGTATGCTCACCTTTAATGCCTGGTTCTTGGGCTTGTTTTCCTTGGCAAGGCCCCCACAGGAGTGGAATTTCGGCCGAAGGGAGCCCAATTGTCATCTTCTAAGCATGTTCCCAGGCCGGGGGCCGGGGAGGGCTCTGACTGATGCTCCATTTCCGGCCCCAGAAGTGCTGGAACGTTCCTGGGATCTAGGGAGCAGCCTCCAGTCCTGGAAGCTGTCCCAGATTTCTGGAATGTTGGAATTCAAACGGCCTCCTGCCCATTTTCCGGAGGAGGAACATGAGACCCAGAGAGGGGAAGGAGTTGGCCTGAGGTCATACGATGTGCAGAGGCGAGTTAGGGTTTGCCGGGAGAAGGTGCGGGTGTGTGGACAAGTCAGCATCTATCTCCCATTTTCAGGTAACAGCACCTCGACTTCCTACTGAACAACCTTCTCTTCCCTCTTCTCAGTCCATGAGGAGGGGGGTGCCCAGAGGCCTCTGTCTCCAGGGGTGGACATGTGACCAGGTCTTACTCTAGTGATTGGTCCAGGGATGAGCACATGACTGAGCCTGCCCAATGAAACTTGATCCTGGGACTTTAGAGCTGGCCATGATTTATGAAGGAGATGCCATTTTTCCATTGGATGGACAGTGAGCAAGTGAACGCTTAGAGCAAAAAGAGAACAAAACAAGGGAAAAGCCTGCCTGGGAGGAAGCAGCACAGAGCTGGACGGGCTTTGAACTCCTAGATCCCACTGTACCTGAAATTAGGCGCCTTCAACTTTCCAGTTATGTGAGCCACTGCCTTTCTCATTTTTGGCTGAAAACAGTTGGGACTGGCTTTCTGTCCCTTCCATACAGAAGGTGCTGACTGACCCCTGCCCCATGGGAGAAGAGACTCCAGGCAGAGGAAATAGTGTGTATAGACACCCCAAAGCAAATGCCAAACGGGGCACTCATGTGCCGAGGAGAAGGAGGAGGAAGCACCTGGGAGCTGAACTTAAGAGTTAGTCAGGTGGTCAAGGTGGGAGAAGAGGGTATCTTTAGCAGAGGAAACAACCAATGCAAAAGCTTGGTGGGGCGACTAGTTAGTGAAGATCAATTATGTGCTGAGCTCGTGTTGGGTGGCAAGGGACACAGACGAAAAGGGCACAGTGGAATCCAGCTACTCCTCACCTGCCCCAACACAGTGCAGGCTTGTCTGCTTTTGGAGCCAAACCTGGACACCTCCGTGTCCTTCCCCTGGCAGAGTGCTGCCCGTGCTGTCTCAGACTCTCCAGCATCTCCTGGTTTGGTGATGTGCATCATGGGGAACACACAAGATTATTTTATAGGCTGCACAGACAAAGTGTAAAATCACCTCGGGTCACATAGTGAGAGTTATTCTCCCTGCAAATTCTTTACAGTCTTTCCTTTATATCCAGGAGAGTCTTTGTTTGGTGCTAACCTGCCTCTAAGACCAAATACTTGCTAATCTCCCTTTGTGAAAAAGAGAGCAGGTCTCAGGCTCATTCAGGTATCTAGCTAGACTTTTCAAAATGTCCTGTAGAGCTGCAGCACATATGAACGAAGAGTTCAGCTTGTCCCAGGCCTGTAATCGGCACCCCAGTGAGCAGACTGGACATCCCCACCCCCAGAGAGAGCTGCCCTCCACTCATGTTCCCTCTAGGGATGCCGCGATTCCAACTTGTATCACCACAGATGAGTTTCACATGTTTTTGAATTTTACATCTTATATGTTTTCTGTTTCTATACAAGTTTGCCTTTTCTAGAATTCCATATAAGTGGAATTCTATAATGTGTTATCTCAATTTGAGTCTGTTTTTTTTTTTTTTTCCTGCTCAGCATGACACTTTTGAGATGCATATATGCTGTTGTGTGTATCCGTAGATGGTTCTTCTTTATTGCAGAATAGTGTTCCAGGGTATGGATGTACCAAAGCTTGTTCATCCATTCACTAGCTGAGGGATATTTGGACTGCTTCCAGTTTTTAGCCATTATAAATAAAGCCATTAGGCACATTTGCAAACAGGTTTTTATGTGAACATAAATTTTTGTTTATCTTGGGTAAATTTCTAGGAGTGGAATTGCTGGGCCAGGTGGCCAAGTGTATGTTTCACTTTTTCAGAAACCGCTGAGCTGTTTTCCAAGGTGTCTGTACCATTTTTCATCCCTACCAGGAATGTATGAAAGTGTCAGTTGCTTCATATTCTCACCAACACTTGGTGGTGTTAGGTTTTTTGGTGTGTATGTGTGTTTTACTTTTAGTCATTCAAATAGGTGATAGTAGTATCTCCTTGTGGTGTTAGTTTGCATTTCCCTAATGACTAATGATGTTGAACATCTTTGTATGTGTTTCTTTGCCATCTGTATATTTTCTTTGGTGTAGTATCTGCTCAAACTTTATGTCCGTTAAAAAAAAAAACCAATTGTTTTCTTCTTAATAGATTTAGAGAGTTCTTTATATATATTCTGGATACTAGTCAAGCCTTTGTCAAATATGTGATTTGCAAATATTTTCTCCTGTTCTGTGGCTTGTCTTTTTATTCTTTCAATAGGTAGACTTTAATAACATGGTTTTGTTTTCTTTGTAAGCATTTTTCTGGTTATCTTTGATTTGTGGCATGTATTCTTCGGTTTTTCAATTCTAGTGATAACACCAAATGTTTTCTTTTAAAATGAATTTATTTAAGTAAAAAAGTCAGGAAATTTGAAGAAACACATTAAATACAGAAGAGTAGAAGTGGAGAGTAGACAGCATAAAAATTGTGAAGACAGTTTCCAATTTGCATAACCAAAGTGCGGGCAGCTCCGATTTGTTCATCAACAAATCCTGATGGAGCCCCCACTGTCCACCAGGCTCTGAGCCAGGTGCTGGGGACACAGCACCAAACGAGACAGTTGTTTCTGCTCTTTTAATGCTGGCTTTTCTCCAGTGAGTCTCTCTTCATCTTTCAAAAGCCAATTTGAATGACCCTTCCTTCGTCCAGACCTTCCCTGGAATGTTTGTCACACTCTACTGCAACTTTCTATTTCTGTCTCTCCCAGGCAAGGGGCACGTCAGGCAGCCTCTGGTAGGGTTGCAGAGAGCTTGGTGCATAGATACTTCAATAAATAGCCTCTCACAGAGTACACGCTATGATGAGGTGCTGAAGACCAGTCGCTGATTCCATTGGTTGAAACTAGCCAGGTCTACCCTGATGAAGGGGCCTGAGGACCCTCCCTCCTGCAATCTGGCTGACCCCATGCAAACCAAGGTCTCTCCCCTTGGCCTCCCCTCCCACAGATAAAGACACCAAGAGAAAAAGCCTCCCGAACCCACTGCCTTCAGCCTCTGCTATGTGCTTCCCATCCAGTGCCCATGGATGCCTTTCCTGCAAGGCTCAGTATTCACACAAACACTTCCCAGGCATCTTTGCTCTGACCTGCCCCAGGCCCACGACCTTCACCTTGACCTCTAACCACCTGTTTCTCCACTCCAGCACACCAGCCACCATTTGCCCCTCCAACATGCCCAGCTCTTTCCCACACCTGGGCTTTTGCACTAGCTCTTCCCTCGTTCATTGCCTTCTCTGGCTCTCCGCGTTCAGTTCTGAACTTCACGGACCCTCCTCAGAGGCCCTCTAGGCTATGCTACCAAAGCCCTCTGTCCTTTTTTTTTTTTTTTTGAGACAGGGTCTTACTCTGTCATCCAGGCTGGAGTGCGGTGGTATAATCATAGTTCACTGCAGCCTCCATCCCCCGGGCTCAAGTGACCCTCCTGCCTCAGCCTCCTGAATAGCTGAGACCACAGGTGTGTGCCACCACGCCCAGCTATTTTTTTTTTTTTTAAGTAGGGATAAGGTCTCAGTATGTGGCTCAGGCTGGTCTCAAAATTCTGAGCTCAAACAATCCTCCCACCTCGGCCCTCCGAGTGCTGGGATTACAGGAGTGAGTCACTGTGCTCAGACACCCCATGTATTTTTGATCCCTTCATTCTGTTTCTTTCCTTTGTAGCATGGAATGCGCTCATTTCTGAGTTTATTTTTGTGTTTGTTTCTTGTCTGTGTCCCCTGCTGGAGTGGCAGTTCCATGAGCGATTTGAGTCTATCCTTCTCTCCATCTCCCCAGTGCCCAGCACAGTGCTCAGCACACAGTCGGTACTCAATCAGAATTTGTTGAATCAATGAGAGAATGAATGAATGAGGTCATGAGCTCTCCCTTCTCTAGATGCACTCACGGCAAAGTTGAACCCATCTATCTGCCCATGAGTCAGGCTAGTTATCCTGTGGGCCCCTCCTGGGTGGGTACTGAGGGCTGCCTACTGGGTCCAGCCAGGCCTGTGTCTTGTCAGCTGCCCAGGCTAAGGGACTTTCCACTGTCCTTGGAGTTGGCCTGTGGAAAGGTGTTCTCAGGACCTCGTGAGCCCGGGGCCATGGATGGGGCTAGAGGTAGCTGCAAGGTACAGGGACCCCGGCGTGAAATTCCATCAGTTAACACTGTAAGTGAGGCTTTCCAGCTCCCTTTTGTCCTCCCTGTGATGCCAAGGGGAGGGAGAAACTCCTCGTGGGGCTTGTGTGTCTTGAACACCTTCCTACCACCTGCTTTTTCTTCAGAAGAAACAGAGCAGATCTCAAGTACAAGCTGCCATCAGCAATTGTTTCACTTTTTTGTATATTTCACCAATTGTCTTCCATTTGCAGCAAGTGCCTTAGATTGGGAGCCTACGAGCAGATCCCTAACAGAATAATATGAAGGCAAGTAGCCTATTTGGGAGATGCCTCCAGAAAGCACTGGTAGGGAAGTGAGATTAGGGAGGAAGGGCCGCCAATCTCAAGAGCGCTACCAAGTCAGTAACCGTGTAGGCAACTGGGCTCGGTCCTGCTGTGGCATGCTGGGAGCCCATGTACTAATGGAGTTAGCCCCCCTAGGGGAGGGGATCCGGTGGCCAGGGAACTGGGGAAGGGACAGGACGACTCAGGTCGTGCCTGTCATTGGTTGACAGCAGCCGCTTGGAGTGTTAGTTCCCAGCACATCCAGCCTGCCCCATGAGCAAAGCTCACAGGTGAAGGGGGCAGGTGCTGTCTGTGTTCACCAGAGAAAAAGGGAGAGGGGGTATGGCCAGGGCACAGACAACAAAGGCCTCACAGTCAACACTGGCTCCTCATTTCCTTTAAAATTAGATTTTAGCAAGCATTTAAAAAGCGAATTGATGGGAAGAATAGGTAATACCGGCAGGTGAAATGTGAACATGGCAAAATGCTGCTAGTTTTCAAGGCATCCAAAGCCCTTAATAGGCAAACAGGTGTTCTTCATGACCCACAAGAATGGCGTGTTTTGGGTAGTGACAACATTCCCCCTTTCCTCCCAGCATGCCAGACTCATGCCCACTCCTAACACTGCCCAGGACCCCTGGGAGTCCTGGAAATGGACCATGAGGCTTGGAGGCAGAAGCTCTGTGTGACTCGGGGTTTGCCCCTTAACATCTCTGGGCCTGTCTGTTAAAAGGGGATGTTCTGAAGTCACGTAAAAGAGTAAATGTGCAAAAATAGTCAAAGCAATGCTGAAAGAAGAACTAAGAGAGAGGACTTGTTCATTCAGACATTAGAATATATGACAAAGGCATAGGAAATAAAACAGTTTGGTATTGGCATATAAGTGGACAAATACATTATGGGAATAGAAGAGCATCCAGGAATTAACCCGGTTATCACCTGTACTACCTGCACTCATGGATGTGAAAGGATTTAGGAAAGGCAAGGCATTGGTGGGCATAGGATTCTCTGGATTATGTCTGGGCTGATGAAGAAGCTTCCAACAGACTCCCCACCTGCAGCCCCTCCCCTATAACCTACCAGGTATGGCACCAGGGACACTCACTCTCATGAGCTGCACTTACCCCTGCTCTGCTCTGGAAATATCAGAGCCTCCCACGTAAGATGCATTAGATCACAGTTGTCACCATTCCTCCTTTTGCAATTCTCTTTGATGCTTCTGATTAACCCAAGGAGAAAGTCTCAGGTGGGCGTGGCTGGACTTGAACACCTCTCCCACGTTTGCTTGTCTCCCTTTATGAGGCAGAGTAGACCTTAAGCTCAGAGCCTTCACCAGGCAACAGAATGCAGCTAGGATTTGGTAATGTTCTTTTGTGATTGTTGTTTTAAGGTTACTTTCTATTTATAGAAATGAAAAGTTGTTTCCTCTTTCTGATAGTAACACAAATTTTCCTTTAAAAATAATTTTTTCTGATCCATATTACAATGAGAATAACCTCCAAAACATGATGCTAACTGAAAAAAGCCAGACACAGAGGTCTTTTTATTTGGTGAGACAGGCTCTTGCTCTGTTGCCCAGGCTGGAGTGCAGTGGTGTGATCTCGGCTCACTGCAACCTCTGCCTCCCAGGCTCAATGATTCTCTCACCTCAGCCTCCCCAGTAGGTGGTACTACAGGCGTGTGCCACCACACCTGGCTAATTTTTATATTTTTCGTAGAGGCAGGGTCTCCCTATTTTGCACAGGCTGGGCTCAAACTCCTGGGCTGAAGTAATCCTCTGCCTCAGTCTCCCAAAGTGCTGGGACTACAGGCATGAGCCACCATGCCTGGCCAGAAGGTCACATATTATATGATTCCATTTCCAGGAAATCTCAAAAATAGGTACATCCATCAAGACCAATGAAGAATGGTGGTTGTTAGGGGATTGGGAGCAACTGCTTAATGGTCACAGAGTCTCCTTTTGGGGTGATGAAAATGTTTTGTGGTCAGCTAGAGGTGATGGTTGCAAAATATAATACTAAAATGCCACTGAAATGTTCACTTTAAAATACTTAATATGATGCTATGTGAACTTCGTCTCAGTAAGTTATTTTTTAAAAAAACCAACTGAGTAAACTGAAAAATCAATTTACTTAAGAAAAGGTATGAATGGCTTTAAAGATGGCTTTTTTTTTTTTTTTTTTTTTTGAGACGGAGTCCTGCTCTGTCTCCCAGGCTGGAGTGCAGTGGTGCGATCTCGGCTCACTGCAAGCTCTGCCTCCTGGGTTCACACCATTCTCCTGCCTCAGCCTCCCAAGTAGATGGGACTACAGGCGCCCGCCACCTCGCCCGGCTAATTTTTTGTATTTTTAGTAGAGACGGGGTTTCACTGTGTTAGCCGGGATGGTCTCCATCTCCTGACCTCGTGATCCGCCCGCTCTGGCCTCGCAAAGTGCTGGGATTACAGGCGTGAGCTAAAGATGGCTTTTTAGCTCTGTCTCCCAGGTGTGGGAGACACTGGCTAAGGGGATGAGTCTCACCACCACACATCGGCTCATACCTTGCCCAGGCCTGGAAAGTCCTCTGCTCACTGACGGAATCCTATACAACCCTGGGAACCCAGCTCAAGCCTCACCTCTGCAGGAAGCCCTCCCTGATTACACAGGTGGTCAGGCGGGGTCAGTCCTGTAACCCTTCAGACCCAGGTGTGAATCCCAGTCGTGCCACTTACTAGTGGGAGGAATCTCTTAACTTAGACATATTGTTTGACTAAGAGGGCCTCAGTTTCCTTATCTGGAAAATGGGGGCTTATGATAGTTCTTATCTCACTAGGTTGAGCTCCTACATAGAAAGTTTTAGGACAGAACCTGGGGAGATGAAGCTGCCCTTAATTCACACTTCAGTCTGGCACTGATCACATCATAGTTGCATTCCTTTTCCTCCTGTCTCCTACACTGTGGGTAAGGGCTCAGCCTTTGTATTCTCTGTATCATGTTGCTGTATAGAACTCATGCACAGTAGGCCCCCAAGAAGGGCGGGTTGGCTGATGTACAGAGGAACTCCCAGAATTCGACCTCTCCTCTCACCTCCACGGTCCCCACCCTAGTCCAGACCCTGCATGGCTTACCTGGACTATTGTGGTCTCCTCCTGCCTGGTTTCCTGGCTTCTGTCCTAAATCCTCCACCTCCAATCCATTCCCCACATGCAGTCAGAGAGATCCCGTGAGAACCTAAGTCAGATCTTGTCCCTTCTCTGCCCAGAAACTTCCCACAGCTCTCACCTTGCTTAGAGGAAAAGCCAAAGTCCTTCTCGTGGCTCATCCACTGTGGGACATGCCCCAGCCCCTCTCTGCCCTCTCTTCCTCCTCCCCCAGCCCTCGTCCCTATGACAGTCTTCTTGTTGCTCCGGCACTCCAGGTTCCACCTCAGAACCTTTGCATCTGCCATTCTGGTTTCCTGGAGCACTTTACCCCACATTACCCCACACGGCCCGCTGCTTACTTCCTCACCTCCTCCAGGCCTCTGCTCAAATAGCACCTGCTAGGGAAGCTTCCCCCTGCTTCCCAGGTTTTGCTGGACTCCGAAGCTCTTTTCTTCCCAGAGGCAAAGCCCTTGGCTGGGGTCCTGGGCCCAGCCTGGTGACTCAGGTGGAGAAGATGCTCCCAGGCCTCCCGCTGGATTTGGGGCTCAGGGTCAGCCATGGGGGTAGGCGGTACCTAGGCTGTACCTGGCGCAGAGGCCTCTGCCTTCCCCTGCCGTGGGAGGCAGCCCTGCCCTGCACACACGGGCTTCCAGGCTGCGGGTGGGAAAGCCCCACATCCTCCTCTGCTTACCTGACTCGAGCTGACTCAGACCCCCAGCCCTGGCCAGAGGGGAGCCGCAGCTGCTCCGCCCCTTGATGGGAAGCAGAGCTGTGGCTGTGAGGGCCTGGCTGGGCCAGACACTGACTCACCTCGCTCTATCCCGCCCCTGCGCTGGGAGCCACGCCTCCCTCTGGCCAGAACCTCTTGGCCCGTCTGCTGTGGGAGCTGCCCCAGGCGGAGTTTTCCTGAGGGGTGCCTTCTTCTGCCTCTCGGAGCCTTTCTGTTCCTTCAAGGCCCAGCTTGAGGGCCATGTCCTGCTGGGAAACATCAAATTCCCTGTGGCCAGAAGGGGAAAAGGATGTGGGAGAGGTAAAATAATAGTGATGATAATACCAGCAACAATAATGAAAACAACTGTTATATAAGAATCATAGCAGCTAGCCATGCTTACTATGTGCCAGGCACTGTGCTAAACACTTCACGTTTTAACTCATTCAGTCCTCACAATAGTCCTATGAGGTAGGAACTCTCATTTCCCAAGGCACAGAGTGGTCAGTATCCAGCCCAAGGCTACCAGCCAGGCCGTGGGAGGAGGGGATGTGAATCTAGGCAGCTGGACATTGAGTGGCATTGAGTGGCATTCTCACCCCCAGCTCTGAGAGCCGAGTGGAGGCCCCGAGACTGGAATGCAGGGAGCTGGGAGGGAGGGGAGCCAGGTCCTGGGCTCTGTTCCAGTGCCCGTCCCCACAGCGGGATTTTGAGTCTCCCCAGGCAGAGGCCAGCCCCCTCTCTCCCGGGGAAGAACCTCACGGCGGGGGGCCCTGCCACAGCACAGGCTGGTGCTTCTTCCCTCCGTCGGGGTGGAGCTCAGAACCGAGGGTCTGGGCAGTCCACCAACATTGCCCAGCCCCGAGTGATGCCAGCCCCTGCTCTGGGCAGCCACTGAATAGGAATTCACACAGGTAGGGCAGGGACCATGGCGTGGGCACTTCACTCATTAATGCTGCCAGCCACACTGTGAAGTGGGGACAGTACAAACATCTGTTTTACAGAGGAGGAGACTAAGGCTCAGAGGGCGACAGGACTTGCTCAAGGCCACAGAGGTAGAACATGGCAGGAGTGAATTTGAACCCAGGATTGTTCTGATGCCACACAGTCAGAGTCCCTTCTACTGGGTGGTGACACAGCATCTCAGTGAAGAATGGGGCAGGGTGGGAAGCAGACACAGGAAAAAGCCTGGAGCCTCAGTTCACATCACCCTCTCCCTCTGGCCTTCCACTAACCTGCACTCACCAGTCCATCTTTTCATTCCTTTACCCATATATCCACCTACCTACTCATCCACACATTCATCCACCATCCAAACATCTCTCCATCTATCCTTCCATTATTCCATCTATCCTTTCCGTCCAATTCTCAGCCATCCATCCACCCATCAAGACTTCCCTCCACTTGTCCTTCTATTCATCCACCCATCCATTCTTCTATCCCTCTTGCCTTCTATCTATCCATCCTTCCATTCATCCATCTGTCCATCGGTTCAAATATCATCTATCCACCTATCCTTCCTTCCAACCTACAATCCATCCATCCATCCAACCATCCGCCCACCCATTCATCCATCCAGTCATCCACCCACACATACATCCGTCCATTCATCCGCCCACCCACCCACTCATCCTCACAGCCACCCACACATCCATTCATCCATACAACCCACAAATGTCTATTTGAAAGACAGCTGTGATGCCCAAGCCTTGGGGTTGCCGTGCCTTGAGCCAGAAGGAACACGCCTAATTAGGTTCCTGTTTATTTGTTGTTCCAAGAAGGTTAATTGTGGGCTTTGTAAACAGTCGTTTGATGGCTGAGGAGTTACTTTAGGAGGACAGTTAAAATAAACAGTCACTGGGTGGAAAATAGTCAGTGCTGGTACACGGCGGGTCTGGAGTCATGGCCTGCCTTCCAGAGGAACGATGGGACTGAGTTCCAGTCAGTGCAGAGGCTTTGAGTCAGAATGATGGGAATGCTGGCAGTAACAGCTCATCTGTGTTGGGTGCCTACTGTGTGCCAGATACTGTGCCAAGGAGCCCTCACAGCAACTCCAGGTGATGGCAACCATTATGGCCCCGATTTATGGGTAGGGAGACTGAGGCTGGGGAAGAGGAAGCTGTGTGTCCAGGGTCACGTGTCTGAGAAGTAGCACAGCCATGACACCGATCTAGACCTGACTCTGTGCAATAATAATGATAACAATAGCAAATAATTACATAGTACTTACTATGTGCCCAGCACTGTTCTAAGAGCCTTTTTTGCCTGTACCCTATGAGGTCAGACCTAAATATCATCCCCTCTTTTACAGATGAGAAAACTGAGGTTGGAGACACGAAGCAACTTGCTAAGAATTTTTAAAAGTTAATTATCTGGGCCCAAAGTCTTACTCTTGATCATGTTATTCAGTGGAATGTTCTTTCTATGCGTTTAACTTAGATCCAGCCATACATGATCTGCCAGACATTTTTTAAAAAATAATTTTTCATCTATTTTATATCTCTAAAAATACTGCAATATTATAACTTATGTGTTTTTTAATACTTGCTGCTGAGGTTGGTAAAATGTTTCTGTAAAGAGCCAGATAATAAATGTTTTAAGATTTGTGGGCCATACCATCTTTATTGCAACTACTTAACTCTGCTGTGGTGCAGGAAAACAGCCACAGACTGTATGTCAGTAAATGACTGTGACTGTGTGCCAATAAAACTTTATTTACAAAAACAGGTGGTGGGCCAGGTTTGGCTCAAGGGCTATAGCTTGCCAACCCCTGACTTTGCAGTACACACGTGTTTATATTTACCAAACCATGTTCTCTGCCCTTTTATGAATGAGATAAAAGCTTTTCAAGTGTGATTTCAACCAGGCCATTTCACCTCCAGGCCATTTGCTCACCACATGCCCTATATACTGTTTAGCAATTTGCCCACTATTGGCAATTTTGGAAGGAATTTGCAAATTACTTGAATTAACCTGCTTTCTTCATTTGCAATATCAGTAAATTAATGACAACTGTGAGGGGCACTCAACTTGGCTGATCACCCCAGCAGGGACACTGAGGATACTTCATTCCAAATCTGTAAACTTTGAGCTTGAAAAAAAAAAATTGAAAAGTGAAAGTGAGAAGTTCTGTGGCTGGGGTTCTATTACTGTTTTCTATTGGTGACAAGAACAAGGAAATGAAAGGATGATATGGGAGGGGTGTTACAAAATGTACTCAGAGCTAGTGGGAAGAGAACAGAGTAGTGTCAGAAAGATCCCTTTTCCCCGTTGTCCCCACCTCCTTCCCATCAGTGTTCATTTCCCAACCTCAGAAAAGTTGTGAGCCTGGGTAAAACAGCATGTGGCCACTCCAAAGTTAAAAGACAAATGGTAACCTAGGTAAAAATATTTGAAACATAAATGTAGACTGTGAATTTATTTCCACAGTATATAAAGAGTTCCTGCAGAACAATAAGAAGAAAACCACAAACCCACTAGAATAATGGGTAGTGGGTGTGAACAGGCAATTTACATAAAATACAGATGGCAAATAAACATGCAAGATGTTCAATCGTGCTGGTAATCAGGCAAATGCAAATTAAAACAACAATGCAAGAACATTTGCCATGCCTCAGGTTGACATGAATGAGATTGGTGATGTAAAGCGTTAAATTAAGGAGACTGGGAAATGGTCACACTGATATACTGCTGGTGGTGGTGTAAATTGAAACAGCCTCTCCAGAAGACAATTTTTACAGTAGCCAGTAAAACTGTAAGTTCACATTTTTGGGGGGAACACTGCAGTTCCGTGATGTGGCATCTCCCTTAGTGAAACATCCCCACACAGGCACAAGGAGTATGGTCAAGATGGCCACTGGGAGCAACCTAAATATCCATCAGTTGAGGAAGGGTTAAACACCCTGCAGTGGTCTGAGGCTCCCCATCTTTTGAAGCGCAGTCTACTCACCTCCATCACTGATGTTGAACCTGCTAGGTGCTCACTCTTCCAAGCATCTCTTGCAGCTAGTGGGTGGTCACATGACCCAGGTTCCACCAATCAGACGTGCCCACTGAGACCTGGAAGCAGGGATACTTCAGGGTCAGCAGAGAGGGCTTACTGATCCAGTGTTGGGTGTGATTTGGGGTACTGTCCCTGCTGACCTTAAGCCTGGTTCTCCAATCCCCCCAAGCTCCCCAAATCCCCTATTTTATTTTGAACTTTCACTGAAGTATAGCACACATAGAGAAAAATGCACAGGTCGTAAGCAATAACTTCACAAGCCTTCATAAGTGAGTGCATTTGTGTAACCAGCCCTTCATCAAGAAACAGAATATTCCAGTTCCTTTAAGCTTCCCTTATGCCCTCTTCCAGTCACGACTTCCCAGAGGCTAACCAAGGCGAGTTGTGTCTATTTCTAGTGCTTTATATAAATGGAACCAAACGATGTGTGCTTGTTTGTGTCTGGCCTTTTTCCCTTAATGTTCAAGTCTTTGAGATTCACCCATGCTGTAGCGTGTGGTTGCAGATCTTTCATTCTCATTGCTGGGCAAAATTCCATAGTCGGAACAGTGTCTGAGTGTGTCTCTGTTCTTTCATTCATTCTCCTACTGATGGACATTTGGGTACTTTCTAGTTAGGGGAGATTTATGAATAGGGCTGCTATGAACATTTGTGTGTGTCTTTTTTGGTGAAAATCTGTCTGCACTACTATTGAGTGTAGTCCTATCGTTGAGTCTTATGACAAGTGTATGTTTCACCTTATTAAGTTGCCAGTGTCTTCTGAAGTGCTTGCACCATTTTGCATTCATGTATGAGGGTTCTTTCTAGATGCTCCATATCTTCATCAACTCTTGGTATTTTCCATATTTTTCGTTTTAGCCATTCTAGTGGGTGTACAGTGGTTATCTCATCAAGATTTTCATTTGCATTTCCCTGCTGAGCAAGGATATTGAGCACCTCTGTGTGTTTATTGATCCTTTGGGTATCCCCTTTTGTGAAATGCCTGCTCGAGTCTTGTCCATTTTTGTTTATTGGATTGATTGTTATTCCCCCCATAAAGTACTTTGAATAGACTGCTTCTCTGTTTAAATTACTGTATTAGCCAGGGCTTTCCAGAGAAACAAAACCCAACAGGATGGGTGTGTGTATATATATTTATATTTAATTTAATTTTTAAAGGGATTGTAGAAGCTGGCAAATGTGAAATTTGTAGGGCAAGTCGGTAGACTGGGGACTCAGGCAAGACTTCTATGATACAGACTTAAGGCAGAATTCCTTCTACCAAAGGCTTGGATTTTGCTCTCAAGGCCTTGAACTGATTGAATGAGGCCCACTCACGTTATCAAGTCCATCTACAGGATATCTTTTATTTTTATTTTTATTTTTATTTATTTACTTTTTTGAGATGGAGTCTCACTCTGTCGCCCAGGCTGGAATGCAGTGGTGCGATCTCGGCTCACTGTAACCTCCACTTCCCAGGTTCAAGTGATGCTCATGCCTCAGCCTCCCGAGTAGCTGGGATTACAGGCGCCCCCCACCATGTTGGGCTAATTTTTTCGTGTTTTTAGTAGAGATGGGGTTTCGCCATGTTGGCCAGGCTGGTCTCGAACTCCTGACTCAAGTGATCTGATCTACCATCCTCAGCCTCCCAAAGTGTTGAGATTACAGGCGTGAGCCAACATGCCTGGCTCAGAATCTTTTTTTTTTTTTTTTTTTGAGACAGAGTCTTGTGTTGCCCAGGCTGGAGTGTGCAGTGGTGCAATCTCGGCTCACTGCAACCTCTACCCCCTCAGGTTCAAGTGATTCTCCTGACTCAGCCTCCCGAGTAGCTGGGACTACAGGCGCCTGCCACCATGACCGGCTAATTTTTTTTTTTTTTTTTTGTATTTTTAGTAGAGATGGGGTTTCACTATGTTGGCCAGGCTGGTCTTGAACTCCTGACCTCATGATCTGGCCGCCTTGGCCTCCCAAAGTGTTAGGATTACAGGTGTGAGCCACCAGCCCAGCCCAGAATATCTTTATAGCAACATCTAGACTCATGTTTGACCAAACAACTGGGCACTGTAACCTGGTCAAGTTGACACGTAAAATTTAATGATCACAATTACCCAGAGCTGTTTATGTTGCGCTCAACTCTCAGCTCTATCTAATCTACTGTGAAAATACACACATACTCACACACATGCGCACACTACCAACAACAGTGGTAGACATTTCATTGTAAGTGCATAGAAGTAAATCTGGAAGGATGCTAAACTCATTACACGACCCGGTTGGGGAATGTCCAGGATGGACATCAAAGGGTATTTTAACTATAAACTGTAGCTGTAAAAATATTTTTTAAGAATATGATAATGGGTTAATTGTATAATTAAAATTAATATTTAAGTGGCAAAACTTTTAAAAGAAAACCAAAGGAGTCATTGAGTCCCCATTACTCATTCAGCAAAAATTTGCTGAGCACCTACTATGCTTCGGTTGTTGGAGACACTGGATAAGACAGATCCAGTCTCTATCTTGGTGGAGCTGATGTCATAGTGGAGAAGACAGGCAATAAAGAAGCAAACAGGGAAATAGCAGATGATTTCAGAAAGTGTTCAGGAGTATTCTGAAAGCAAGTAAGCCATGTGCAGGGGCACAGTATGAATGGGGACAGGGTTATGTTGGTGTGGGAGATCAGGGAAGGCCTCCCTGCAGTGATATTTGAGCTCAGCCCCGAAAGAGGAGAAGGAGCTGGAAGAGCACACCAGGGGACCAACTCGGCACATGCAAAGGTCCTGTATTAGTCCATTCTCATGCTGCTAAAAAAGACATACCCGAGACTTGGTAATTTATAAAGGCAAAGAACTTTAATGGACTTATAGTTCCACTTGTCTGGGGAGGCCTCACAATTGTGGCCGAAGGTGAAGGAGGGGCAAAGGCACGTCTTACATGGTGGCAGGCAAGAGATTAGTGCAGGAGAACTGCCCTTTATAAAACCATCAGATCTCTTGAGACTTATTCACTATCATGAGAACCGCATGGGAAAGATCCACCCCCATGATTCAATTACCTCCCACTGAGTCCCTCCCACTACACATGGGGGTTATGGGAGCTACAAATCAAGATGAGATATGGGTGGGGACACAGCCAAACCATATCAGGTCCTGAGGCAGGAATGAACCAGATGAGCTGGGATGAGAACCCAAGCAAGCTTCTGACTTGGAAACCGACGCTCAGAGAGGGATACAGACAACTCAAGGCCACAGCACTGGACGTGGTGTAACTAAACGAGAATAGAGCAGTGTGCTGGTACAGAGCTGCCTGTACAGGAAGGAGGCCTCTGAGCTGCTCGAAGGGCTCTATCTGCACTCCCCCACAGAAATCCCCTTATGATCAGAGCCAAACATTGGAGACCTAGCCTCCAGGCTTGTGCCAGCCTTGCCCTGTCAGCCAAGGCCAGTATCCCCACTGAGGGGCATCTGAGGGCTCTGTACTCTTTGCCTCTGAGTTGAAGGTCAACAGAGGCTACCACTGCTGTTTTACCTAATTATATAACAGAGACCAGGGAGGAAGGTGTCTGGGATAGATGTTTTACCTGCACCATCCCATCGAATCCGCTAAGAACCCCATGAAGCAGTATTATTATTCCCATTTTGCAGTTGGGAACACTGAGACTCAGAGAGATCAAATACCTTGACTCCAGAGCCTGTATTTTTTTTTTGAAACAGGGTCTGGCTCCATTGCCCAGGCTGGAGTGCAGTGACATGATCTCAGCTCACTGCAACCTCCACTTCCTGGGCTCAAGCCATCCTCCCACCTAAGCCTTCTGAGTAGCTGGGATTACAGGAGCATACCACCACACCAGGCTAATTTTTGCATTTTTTTGTAGAGAGGGGGTTTCTTCATGTTGCCCAGGCTGGTCTCAAACTCCTGAGCTCAAGAGATCTGCCTGCCTAGGCCTCCCAAAGTGCTAGGATTACAGGCATGAGCTACCGCACCTGGCCCAGACCTGCATTCTTTACCTTTATGGTCTAGACCCTGCTCCTATAGATCCCCAGGCAAGAGCGAGACCATCTTTTTTAAATGCCAGAGCCTCAGATAGAAAAGGATGATCTTACCCAGGACTTCATTAAACAGATGAGAAGACCAAGGTCCAAAGAGGGAGAGGAACCATCCCCTGACTATACAGAGCTGGGTCTCGTGCTCCCAGAGCCCCTCCAGCTTTACCCCCTGTTCCCCTCCCCTTCCTTCCATTCATGATGACCTCACTGGCCTCTAGGCTGTTGCTCCGACATGCTGAGCTCAGTCCTGCCTCAGGGCCCCTGTACTTGTTCCCCTGCCAGATCTAGTCCATCGCTTCTCGTCTTCCTTGACCACTCCATCTATAGTGGCTCTGCGTGTTGCTTTCCTACCTAGGTTTATTTTTATTCCTAGCATTTATCACCTTCTGTCATTATATTAAGTGTATAGTTTCTTTTTGTCCATTATCTGCCTAGAATATCAGAACCATGAGGGCAGAGACTTTGTTCACAGCTGTATCCCCAGTGTCCAAACCAGGGCCTGGCCTCCATGATGCTCAATATGTGCTTGTGGGATGGATAGATGGGTGGATGAATGGATGGATGAATAAATGGATGGATAAATGGATGTATGATATGAGGGAGGAAGGGAGGGATAGATGGATGGGTAGATTAATGAGTGGGTGGATGGATGGATGGATGGATGGATGAATGAATGGATGGATGGATGTTTGGATGTAGGGGGGTGAATGGATGGAGGGAATGAGGAGTGGATAGATGGATGAATGGATGGGAGATGGGTGGGTGGATGGATGGATCAAGGGAGTGAGAGAGGGAAGGGATGGATGGATAGTTGGATAGAAGGGTAGATGAATGGGTGGATGAAAGGGTTGACGGATGGAAGGAATGATGGGCGGATGGATGGGTGAGTGGATGGGTAGATGAATGGGTGGATGAAAGGGTTGACGGATGGAAGGAATGTTGGGTGGCTAGATGGGTGAGTGGGTGGGTAGATGGGTGGGAGGATAGATGGTGGGCGGATGGACATTTCTCCCAGCGTCACTTCCCACCCCCGGGCTGTGGGTCTCTCACTTGGCTGCCCTGACTTGCCTCCCCTGGCCCCAAGCCCAAGCAGAGAGCTCTGGGGGCTTCCACATGATTGGGCAGGATTTCTGTTTCTCACCCTCCTCTGAGGCTGGGCAGACAAAAGCCTTTGTTCTTCCTCCCTGCCTGGCCCTACTGCAGCCGGGGTGGGAAGTTGCTGGCAAGTCAGCAACTTAATTTTGCTGTAACTGAACTGAACTTTGAGGTGTAACCTGTCAAGCAAGCCCCGGAGGCTTCTGTGGTCCACAGGGGAGGGGCATGATGGAGGTATGGTGGGGAGCACCATGGCCAGGCAGAGAGATGATCCCTCTCTAGGCGGACCCCCACGTCTCCCAGAGTAGATTCATTTTTTGAAGCAAGGAGGGGGAGCTAATAGATGAAGCTGGCTCTGGGCTCTCTATGGACAGCTGGGGATGGCGTTTCTTCTTGATCTCCAGAGTTGTTCTACAGGGTGAGGGGTAAGAAAGGGGTCCCCTGCTTAGTGCTCACAGTGGTCCTGTGAGGGGGTGTCAAGATCACCATTGCACAGAGGGAAAAACTGAGGCTCAGAGAGACTAAGTCACACGCCCCCAGGATCACCCGGCTGGAGTACGGAAGGCAAGGTGTGGACCTGGACAGTGTGGCTCAGATAAAAAGGTCTCATGTCCCATGTCACCCCATCACACTTGGCATAAGAGCCACAGTTCTTCCCTAACACTGCCTTGCTGGATGAACTCAGGTAAGCTTCTTTCCCTCTTCGGGTCTTAGTTTCTCTCCTCTGTAAAATGGGAGGCTTGGCCCTAATTTAGATATTGCAGAGTTCTCTGGGTTACTGGGATCACTGGGTTCAACTTTCATAATAATATGAAGTCTCAAAGAAATTCTCAAATTCTCTCACAGTCCTGTGGCCACACCCAGGACCCACAGGCCCATTAGAGCAGCAAACTAAGGCCCTAACTGGCACCGTCATTTTCCCCAGAGCCCTAGAGTGTGATGGGATCGCTGGCTCTCCACCTGAGCCCTGTTGGGAGTTCCAGGTGTCCACTTGCCCCCAAGGCTGGGCACTGCACAGGAGAGACGGTCAGAAAAAGCAGAATCTTGGGCAGGTGCTGCTGACCCATTGGGTAGGAGGTCTAAGAATCAAGATCTGCAGGATGGGGGATGAGGCGGTGGGGGGCTTTTCTCTGGAGTGGGACCCTCCCTTGGAAGCCGGACTGGATAGGTAACATTGCTCTGTTGGGCTGTCACTAACCAATCAAAACCAGTGGCCACTTGCCAATCTTCTGTCTTTGTCCAGGGCAGAATTGAATCTTGTTCAAATAAACTCAAAGGCCAGGTAGATCACTGAAGCAAAGACTGGAGAATTTGGCACTCTGTAGCCTGCCAGCCCTACCCAAACATCCTCAAGGTATCTGCATGACCAGCTCATTGCCCTGCCTACTCCGACCAGAGAATGTGGGAAGAGGCCCCGGACCTCTGTGCAGCGGTGGAGGCCCGCTTGGCTGCTCCTGACCTGCGCCTCTGGCCTCTTCAGCCTTTCCTCCAAATTCCACTCTGTGCACAAGCTGCTGGTCACCTCCCTGCACACGCTGTGTGGCTTCCGGCCTCGGGGCCTCTGCACATGCAGTCTCCTCCACTGAGTTCTCCTGGAAACAGGCCCTCAGACATGAATTCAAGTGCAAGGAATATATTTTGGGTGGTGATCTCAGGAAGCACCCATAGCAGGTTAGGTCATCAAAATAGGGAAGAAAGACCATAAAATAAATGGTATGAAACCAGTCACCACTGTGGGCAACTAGACCTCAGACCCATCAGGGAACTCTGGGAGACAGTGAAGAGCATGCGTTTCAGTCATTCCAACCCAGTCGCAAGGGGAGGGATCACGTACCTTCCAACATCCCCCAGTCATGAGCTGTGGGCTGATTCCAGGGGCTAGTTCCAACTCTCTGGAACTTCTGACTGAGCGTGCACCCACAGCCAAATGAAAGCGCTTAAGCAGACATCTGCAGTGAGCAAGAGTGGGCATCTGTCTGGGGCACACGGGCTGGGTAGCAACAGCATCTGCTACAAATGTTTCTTGCTTCCTGATCTTTTACAAGCAGACTCCTATTTACTCTTCAAAGCCCAGCTCAGATGTGACTCCCTCGGGGAAGCCTTCCCTGACCCTCCTAAATCAGTCAATCACTTCATGAGCTTCTAATATCTGCATGAATCACAGTGGATTCTTATTGCCTGTCCCACAGGGGAGTGAACAACTTAAGGTCAAGGGTTTTACATCTTGGGCGTTAAGAACACGCATGTCACGCAGTCTTGAGTTCTGCTCTCCTGGCCCCTCTGAACAAACTGTGGTCTCCTGTCTGTCCCCAGGGCCTGGTTGTTATTGGGCCCTCAGTGAATGTCCAGATAAAGGGGTTGGAATGACAATTTCAGCTCATTGACTTTTCCTCTTTCCTCTAAACTTTCCTGGTATTTCCATGATGGATGTTTTGGTCCAGCTAATTCCTCTTCAGAATCACTGGGAGAGCATTTAAAAAACTTTGGGGGCTGGAGCCCCATCCCCCTGAGATTCAGATTCTGTTACTGGGATCACTGGCTTCAACTTTCATAATAATATGAAGTCTCACAGAAATTCTCAAATTCTCACCCGGACAAGGGCATGCAGGGAGTGAGTTTGTCATGAAGTCCTACGGGGAGGGAGCCAGAGGGCAGGCAGCCTGGAGTCCATGCTGGGAGACAAACGTGGAGGAAGCAGAAATTAGAAATTAAAAGAAATGAACTGGACATATGGGCAGCCACGTGGTTAGAGCTTAAATACAAACATAGAAAAAAGGGAACATGGCGGAGCAATGCTTTATGACAATACGATGTAAATGACTGAGAACCACAATGAGACCGTGCTGTCCTTAGGAAGGGGCTCTCAGACATAGCTGCCCACTAGATTTGCCTGGTAACCCTTAAAGATTCCTATGCCCATGTCCACTCCCAAAGCCACTGCAGTGGAATCTCTGGGGCGAGACCCAGTATTTTTAAAATGCGAAGCCTGGGCTGAGAACTGCAGAACACGGGAGAACTGCTATCTCAATCCTTTGTCCCCAGAGGGGAATTCATCCTGTAATAATGTTACAAGGGTAAACTGAGAACTAACTATGTGCCAGGCACGGTGCTCAGACCTTTGCACACATTACCTACCCTTGTGTGGAGAGTTCTTTCATAATCCCTGTTTCATCGATGGGGAAACCGAGGCACAGAGTGGTGAAGTCAGTGACCAAGGACTCACAGCTATTCAGTAGCAGAGCAGGCTTGTCCTCAGTACCCGGGGCTGCGAGTCCAGCAAAGGAGTCCTTGGCACCTCCCTCCTGTGTGCTCCAAAGTTGCTCCCTCTGACGCCCTTTGACTCACTTCGTTCAGCAACCGCAAGCAGTTGTTGTTTCCCATAAATTCCTCACGGTGTTTTTTTTTTTTTTTTAAACCTCAATGCACAGGCAAACCCCACATCATGAAGGCTGATCGGCTTTTGAAGGCGAGACCTTCATTCCAAAGGTCACAGCTGTATGAGCCATGTTTAATAGAGCTTATTTTAAATTGCTCCCTCAACCCTGTGAAAGGCGGGAAGTCTTAAAATTACTTCTCCCCAAAACTGGCGCCACCCTGCCCTGAAAGTTCTCTGACTTGTTTCATAAGGAATTATTAATTATGATTTGTTTTTATAATTGTCCACTTGGAGTCTTGGATGACACACGCTCAGACTTGCCCATCCTTTTTTAAAAGAAGGAATCAAAAGTTCATGGAAATCAGTTATATTTAACGAGTGGAATTACTTGGGCTCAGTCCTGGATTAGCTGTGTGGCCTTGGGCAAACCCCTTCCCTCTCTGAGCCTCTGTTTTTCTAGTTGTAGTAGGAAGAGTGTGGATTAATATCTCTCATAGGATTTAGAATATGTATTTCCTGCCAGTCGCTGTGGCTCATGCCTGTTATCCCAGCACTTTGGGAGGCCGAGGTGGGAGGATCATTTGAGGCCAGGAGTCTGAGACCAGCCTGGCCAACGTGGCGAAACTCTGTCTTTACTAAAAATACAAAAATTAGCCAGGTGTGGTGGCACATGCCTGTAATCCCAGCTACTTGGGAGGCTGAGGCACAAAAATCATTTGAACCTGGGAGGCAAAAGTTTCAGTGGGAGATCATGTCACTGCACTCCAGCCTGGGCAACAGAGCAAGACCTTGTCTCAAAAAAAAAAAATTATATATATATATATTTCCCATACCATGAATATGCCAGGGGTATATGAAAAGGCTTTAAGTGGTACATGGATGGACATTTTATAAGTTGTATTTTTTATTTCAACTTTTAAAATTTCTTGGTATTACATTTCATTTGTAAATGCAGACATTTCTTGTTGTTGGGATAGTCAACGAGGAGGAGGAGCTGCTTCATGCAGTCAGTCACTCAGGAATCTGACAGATGGGGACTCACTCATCTGCAAGAGGTCTTCCAAGGTTTCCCTGAGGATCAACATCCAGCCAGCCGCCAGAGGAGGGGAGGTGATGGAGGAGAAACCCATGCTCAACCAGCTCGGCCCAGAATGACATACACATCAGTTCCCCTCACATTTCACTGGATAGAATTTATCACATGGTTTCACCTAGATGCAAAGGCAGTTGGGAAATGTAGTCCCCTGGCTGGGTGACTGCTTACCTACAACACTTAGGAGGAGGAGCATGAGTCTTTGGTGGACCCTTGGTTATCTCTGTCTCGGTATTCTCTTTTTATTTTTATTTTATTTTACTTTATTTATTTTTTGAGACAGAATCTCGCTCTGTCTCCCAGGCTGGCGTGCAGTGGCGCCATCTCAGCTCACTGCAACGTCCGCCTCCTGGTTTAAGCAATTCCCCTGCCTCAGGCTTCGAAGTAGCTGGGATTACGGAGGTGCGCCACCAGTTAATTTTTGTATTTTTAGTAGAGATGGGGTTTCACCATGTTGGCCAGACTGGTCTCAAACTCCTGACCTTAAGTGATTCACCCACCTTGGCCTTCCAAAGTGCTGGTATTACAGACGTGAGCCACCACGCCTGACCAGGAAGTTGGCGGCAGTGGGATTTGAACCCGTGCCTCTGAAGAGACAGTGTCTTAGACCGCTTGGCCACTCTACCTCCGTGGAAAATATTATTCTCTCTTTAAATAAATAAGTTGAAGAACAGAGATTTTCCACCCCACTTCTCAATGAATTAAAATACAATATACAATTTTCTATAGGTGGGAGGACTCATTCGATGCAATGCTAAGGTTTACTGTTTAGCTGTGGTAATCAAGACAGTCTGGTTGGCAGAGGGACAGATGCATACAACAGTGGAACAGAGTAGAGAACCCAGGAATAGACACACACAGATGTGCCCAAAAGATTTTTGACAAAGATGCAAAAGCAGTTCAATGGAAGATAAAAAGCCTTTTCAACAAATAGTGCTGGAGCAATTTGACATCCACATGCAAGAAACAAAGAAAGCGCATTGACCTAAGCCTCACACATGATCCAAAACTTCACTTAAAACAGATCATAGACTTCAACGTAAAACATACAGCTATAAAACATTTAGAAAAAAGCAGGAGAAAATCAGTCTTCAGAATCTAAAGCTAGGTAAAGAATTATTAGATGTGAAAACCAAAAGCACGATTCATAAAAGGAAAAAAATGGATAAATCAGACCTCATCAAAGTTGAAAACTTTTAACCCATGGAAGGCCCTATTAAGAGGATGAAAAGACAAGCTATCGATTAGGAGAAAATACTTGCAAACTGCATATCTGACAAAGGGCTACTACCTAGAATTCTCAAAACTCGACAGAATTCTCGAGAACTCTAAAGTCAGCAGTTAAAATCCAAATAGAAAATGAGCAAAAGACACGAACAAATATTTCAGTGAAAAGAACACGCAGATGAAAATAAACACGTGAAAAAATGTTCAACATCATTAGCCATTAGGGAAATGCAAATTAAGGCCACAATCGGATATTGTTACACACCTATCAGAATGACCAAAATAAAAAACGATGAGAACTTTCGCATTCAATCACTGGTGAGGAATGGAGACACTAGAACACTCCTACATTCCTGGTGGGAATGTAAAACAGTACCGTATTCTGGAAAACAGTTTTTTAAAAACTGCCTTATGACTTGGCATTTGCAATCCTGGACATAAAAATGAAAACTTATGTTTGTGCAAAAACTTATGCTCAAATCTTCATAGCAGCTCTCTTCATAATAGGCAAAAACTGGTAAACCACCCGGAAGCCTGTCTATGGTTTTTTTTTAATTAAAAAAAGCTGTGTTTATATCCATACCATGGACTGCTACTTGCAATAAAAAGGAATAAAATATCGATCACACACAATTTAAATAAATCTTCAGAGAATTATGCTGAGTGAAAAAAGCCAATCCTCAAAGGTTACATAAACTATATGATTCCATTTATGTAACATTCTTGAAACCACACAATTATAGAAATGAAGAACAGATTAGTGGTTGCCATGGCTCGGGGGCAGGGTTGGGGGTGGGAAATGGGTTTGGTTATACAAGGGCAATGAGGGATCCTCGTGGTGATAGAAATGTCTGTATCTTGACTATATCACTGTCAATATCTTTATTGTGACTGTTAACATTGAGGGAAACTGGAAAGGGTATATGGACTCTCTCTGTTTATTTCTTACAACTGCATGTAAATCTATAATAATCTCAAAAGGATACATTTTAAAAAGAATATATTATACAATTTTCTATACCCAGACACTACCAAATATAATTATATCTTTGGTAACACAGACACACTGTTCTCAGATAACGGAAGTAGTGCGGCGATTATGTGTGTGGCTTGACAACAGGATGGGCTGGGTTCAAATCTCAGCTACCAGTCCCTTCACCTCCTTGGGCCTCAGTTTCCACACCTGCAGGTGGGTGAGCAATGAGAGGACCTGTCTCGTGGGGTTGCTGGGGGGACATGATGACATGATTCATGAGACATGCAGAACACAATGCTCACTTGCATGGCTGCTCAGTAAACGAAATGGTCACTTTTCCAGGCTGTAGAGAAGGTTACAGGTAAGAGGCAGGCAGAGGATTGAACCCGAGAGCGTCCTCTGAGAGCTCTAGATTGGGATCATGCCTCGCCAGTCAGGGGGTTTGTTTTGACTTCTTTTTCGCAGGGAAGTGGCTGCTGAGTGGTCCATTCCACTCCCCTGAGTTTGGCCTGGTCGCTTCTTGTCTGCTCTCTGGACCCCGGTGGCTGCAAACTTTCATGGGTGTCTCTCCACAAAGAAAGAACACCTGGAGCCTGTGGTTGGGACTGCTCAGGTGGAGACACAGCCTGGTGGACGATCCTCTGTAAGGCAAAATGGAGCAGGAGTGGAACCCATGCCTACTGCATACCTACTGTGTGCCTTGTGGCTTACGTGCCCCAGCTCACAGAATTCTCCCAGCAGCTTTGAGCAGTAGGTGCTATAATCACCCCTGCGTGATCCAGAGAAAACTGAGACTCGGAGAGGAGAATGGACTTGTCCAAGGTTGTGCAACTAGTAGGTGGCAGAGCTGAGATCTGAGCCCTGGTCTGTCTGATGTAAATCCAGAATCATTTTCACTGTTGATAATAACCTTATTACTTATTAAATATCTACTAGAGTAATAAATATGCTAGCTCTTTCCATTGAGGTATGATCACCTTTCCATTTTAGAGAAGAGGAAACAGGGGTTAGGCGAGGTGCATCGCCAAGATGGACAACAGCTCTCAAAAAACAGCCAGTCCCGCAGCCAACGGGCAGCTTTCTCGTGTGCCTCCAACCCCACCTGTAGCTCCAACCCAGCTCAGCAAACAGCTGAGTCAGCAAACAGCCCCTACCTTGAGATACACTGCCTAGGCAGGCTGTGGGTGTTTGCACTTCAGCTTCAGGCATCCAGGGTCAGCTGAGACAGCAAGAGCTTCCCCTGGGGGCTGGATGGGGTCATTGGGAGCCACTGAGAGACCCTTTCCCCTCTTGGCCTGGCAGACAGAGTGGCAGTTGGAAGACACTCGAGGTGGCGGTGGTGGTAACAACTTCCTTTTGAGTAATAACATTTACTGAAAAGCAATTCTGCTTTTAGCACCAGAAGTTCACCACCCTTGCAAGCAGGCGCCTAAGAATACCTTCATTCAACCACAGTTCAGAGATTCACAGACTTCCTTTTGCACTACCTCCAGGAGAGTTTCACATTTGGTGTTGAGGGAAAACCAAATACCACAATTATTGGAGGGAGTAGGAGGGGTGTCGAGAGGGAGGTGATGTGAAGGGGGCCAGGTGGCATCAACCAC